TTTTTGTTTTTTTTTTTTTTTTTTTGAGGGGAAAGGGGAAGGTGAGAGGGAGATGTTTGGGGAACAGATAATGGAATCAACTAGAGAACTATTTGATGGATAGGAAAAAAAGGCCTGGAAATAGCAGTGTGTAGATGTAAGGGGTACAGGATGAATGGATGAAGTCACTACAGGTGTGGTAAAAGGAAATACCTCCCAAAAGGTATTTCATTCCAATAGAGAAATGTTTAAAATATTGAACACTCAGAAAATTAACCTGAAAACCACATGTAGGTCTCTTGTTAATTTGAGTCACCTGAGACACAAATGACAAGAAATTAGTGTACAAGAAGCTAGGGAAAGCTGGAAGGCCTCTAAAAGAAAATGGGGGAAAGAATTTTGCAATGACTCTTACAGAAATGTCTTAAAACTTATAGTTTTACATTAGACTTCTTACAAGTCTGGTTCTCATGGAGAGAAAGTAAAGTGTTGTGAGTTGTTTGTTTTATGGAAACTTGTCATTCCATGGAAATTTTTACAGGGCTATCAAGAAACCTTTAGCAAAAGTTCATTAGAAGAAACTCAGTATCCCAGACATTGGCCTGCCTATATTCCTTTCTAGTATATTCACTGATGGACAGAATTACCAATGTACTCAGTGACTGACACTTAAGAAGTGTGGGCTCTTAGAACAGCAGCTAGGAAACCTTGGAAAATTAGGCTCTCTGTAGTCTGTAATATGAAGAGTACATGCCCGAGACTCTACAGATACAACACAATGTTTCAAGGAAACAGCATACATGGGATACCATGGCAGCTGCTGTTAAATCCAACTTTGCTAAACACATTCTGATGTGGTCATAAATTTGTAATATTATTTTAAAAGCAAGTTGTGTTACATGGCAGGGTTACATTACATGAGACTAAATATATAGGAAGAATTACAGAGAATATTGAATAGCAGGTATTAAAATGACTGGATATATATATAATCCAGATTATATATATAATCAAGTTTAGCTAGAATCTCTTTAAAAGTGATATTTTAAGTTCACATTTAAAAAACTAATCTGTATTTGAAGACAACTTTTTAAAGGCTATCCATTATTATCAAAATAAAAAACAAAGATAAAGAGAAGGGGAAAATGTTTGAACAGAATAGAAACAAATAGATGCTAGTGAGAATTCAGAGGTGAAATCGCTTAAAATTTGTGATCTGATCCAGTCAAAGAAAAAGGTTACAAAAAGAGGATATGGAAGGAAAACCGATGTGTCTCAAGTCTGTTACTGGAAAATGTGGGACTTAAAAACAAACAGCTCTCTCAGCAGGAGAGCTAAGTAGAGGAGGGGAGTGTGGGATGGTGCAGGTTTGCTTGTGATGATTATGCTCGTTTTCCATTTTATTCTGAAGTAGTCTGTTTTGCTGCACAGACATCCTATTATATGTCTTTAGCAAATTTCCTCTTCAGCTTTTCTAGATGAGTGTTTTTCAAACAGCACACTGCAACCCATTAGTGAGATAGGTTAGTGAGTCACTATCCACTTTATGAACAAAATAGAATTGAAGTGAATGTCGGTGAAGT